TTCTTCTCTTTACACTCTATGGTTTCTACAAAGCGTTTCTCTCTTTCTCTCCTCCTTCTCGCTCGCGGAGGAATAAATTATGAGACGCCGGCTGGCTCTGGCCGGCTGAAAAGTTTCGATCCCTGTACCGCTACGAGAAGATCTTACAACGCGGTGTCTCTCCGCGGCGACCTTTCCATTCGCGTCGCGTGAAGGATACGACCGCAATCGCGCGCCACGAAAACGACAATCCGTTCTTCTTATGCATGAATGAAACGAGGCACTTCCGCGTGACTTCGCAATCGATCAGAATTACTTGGACGCGATAATAAATCCCCGACAAGCGAGAATCTCTCGCGAGTCGATCGATCGTCGCGAGTATAATTCTATTAAAAATTCACGAAATCTCCTTCGCCGAAAAATTCGCCGGATTTCACGAATGTGCGAAAGTTACAATGCTCGGCGATCGGAAAATCCAATAATCGTTATTGCCGTTATTGCCATCGTCCCGCGTATTGCTCATTCGATGTTGTAATTACCTACTTATTATGATGTGTGCACAGTTATATTTTCCACGGTTCAGGATACTGTTAACCGTGTTCGTATAGGGCATTTCGACGTGCACGACGGTCGCTTCGATTGTATTTGACGTCGATGTAATAACCGTGAATGATATTCGTTAGCGTGTTTGTTTAATATCGGGAAACGCTACTCGAACGTCACGTTCAATTATACTCAATCGGAAACCTATTGCAACGCGCGGCACGTGAGTTTTTGTGAACAGGGAGCAAAGAGTGACGATGTACCGTAGATCCGTTAAATCATGCCGGATCCGCCATTATGAATGGTCTAATTACGAGTTTATTGATGTCGATCGGTCGTCGCGCCGTCGTCGAACATTCACCGATGTTTCATCACGACCGCAAACTGAATTCACGAACGAATGCCGAGATATTTTCGCGTTTCCAGAATTACCTTTTCGCTCGAGAAATATTTCCGCGATAAATATTACCATCAAGTATCTTTGCAACCACTCATCAGATTAAATCTCCGCAATTTGCCTCGTTTGTTGTTCCTCAGCACCTATATATTTACTAATTACTTCATCTTGCTCGTTTATATTATCATTAACTCTAATTAGCCGCAATTAGCAACTTATAGGTCTTCCATTGAAATGCAGAGGAAAAATCCTACACGGAGAAAAATGAT